TCATATGAGGAAATAAATACAGTTTGGGCTGATTTATTGCTTGAACTAATTATGCACCAGACTTCTGATGCCTTTAGTTTCCATGTTTTTCCTGACAAACACACACACACACTTGGACCCACTCAGTGACCCCCTCTTCATTAAGAATCTGAAGAATGTTAATACCAGCATGTCAGTCATCAAAACTGATCAATGTAAGCAGACTAAAGCATGAACAACAACATCTTTCACTTTAATCTCCATGTCTGGCTTTTGAGGAGAAATTCAAAGGGGGAAAACGCCTGGCGTTTATGGAGAAGAAAAAGCGAGTGGGAGTGAAAGGGAAGACCAGCGGACGCAGTTCTGTCTTTGTTAAATTATCCCTTCCGTAAATTTCTCTTTTCTCATTCACGTCTGCCAGACGTTCCCCAGCATGTGTTAAAGAAGAAGACAAAAAAACAGAGGAAGCGTGGGCAATGGATCTCCACTGTCTTGACTAAACTCTATATATGTTCCACTGACAGCACATGGTCTATGACAAGTTGTCTTACTGAGAGAAGAGAGAGAATGGGGGAAAGGGGGGGGGCAGATGGAGAGACACCAAGAATAGAGATTTAAACGTACTACGCAGACAGAGTCTACACATGTGGAAGAGCACAAAGCAGAATGCCCTCCAACTGCACATTAGCGACCTTGTTTGAAAAGGCCAGAGGCACTTTATAGTCCAGTTTATTGTACCACTGCCTTGTAGTCCTATGCAAGTTAAGGCCAGTTATATTAATCACTTCTTGTGATATTCATCATTTGTCTGATGGCATTTGGCTCTATAAAACCTAAGTGCCTGAGCTGGGAAGAAGTCTGGCTACAAAGTAGTTATATTATCTTATTTCACTCGGACATCGCGGCCTTTCCCTCGGCCTCCCCTATTTCTGTGCCTGCGTAAAGTCTCTGCTGTATGAACATGTGTTAAATGGGCCTGAAAGGTATGTAAAGGGCATCTGCATATAAGAGCATATCCTTAAATTCTCCTATAGGAATACTTCCTCTATTCATCTACTCAAAGGGAAATATGGGACACAGAGGATTAATTAAAACTGTGAGACGAAAGGACACTATGACGGGTGGGTACCAATTAGAATACAAATGGATTCATTTTCCAACAGGAACAGCATTGCTGCGTGTCTCTAAAGGGCTGGACACACTTAGGCGGATTTGCTCCGACCAAACAATTTGGTGTTGTTTTTGACAGAAATCTTGCTGATGATTCATACAATGATACTGACACTTGGATATAAGGGTTTGCCATCCCCTAGATAATACAGATGAAACTTATCCGCCTTGAAAAACTGCCACTCCCACTTTCCATCCCCTTTGGATTAATGTCTTTATGTGATATCCCTTAATGCTGGGCTGTGCAATACGACAATACATGCTAAGCACATGCTAAGAGAAACGAATCCCGTGTGAATACTTACATGCTAGCGACAGACCTTCATGTGTGCACAAGTGTATATCTTCATTCAAATATTCCAAAGTGGTCATGGAAGTTGAAGTCAGATATTCACAGCCAGTTATACATCAGCTATTGTAACTATATGGAGTGTGCAGTAAAGAACATTTACAACTGCTCATCTGCTCAGCTGTAATGTCATATTTGAAGCCAACAACCATTTGGGATTTTGTAGTTTGTCTGCTGAAAAATAAGGCCTCTTAAAGACACCTTTGGAATCGAGAGCTGAAGCGCCCTCTGCTGTTCCTACTGCCTTTACTATTTGTAGCCTACATTCTATCTGTAGCCAGTTGCTTAAAAATTGACTAAAGAAAAAATCACTTATTTTTAAATAACACTCAAAGAAGAAGAAGAAGAGGAAATAGTTAGTTAAGTGCTAAGAGTGCCCCTTAAGGGGATCAGAATTATTCAGGAGAAAATGAGTTATCTATACATTTCACACTGATGTGGTGGTGGTGTGTTAGTGTGTGTTGTGCTGGTACGAGTGGATCAGACACAGCAGTGCTGCTTTTAAACACTGTGTCCACTCACTGTCCACTCTATTAGACACTCCTACCTTGTCAGTCCACCTTGTAGATGTAAAGTCAGAGACGATAGCTCATCTGCTGCTGCACAGTTTGTGTTGGTCATCCTCTAGTCCTTCCTCAGTGGTCACAGGACGCTGTTGGCTGGATATTTTTGGTTGGTGGACTATTCTCAGTCCAGCAGTGACACTGAGGTGTTTAAAAACTCCAGCAGCACTGCTGTGTCTGATCCACTCAGACTAGCGCAACACACACTAACACACCACCACCACGTCAGTGTTACTGCAGTGCTGAGAATGATCCACTACCCAAATAGTACCTGCTCTGTGAGGGTCCATGGGGGTCCTGACCACTAAAGAACAGGGGGCTAACAAAGTATGCAGAGAAACAGATGGACTACAGTCTGTAATTGTAGAACTACAAAGTGCACCTATATAGTAAGCGGAGATGATACAACGGACAATGAGCATAGAAATACGGATGGTCATAATGTTATGCCTGATCGGTGTGTATATTAACAGAAGCATTTAATGGAGTTTTAATGTTGTCTTTTTTCAGTGCTAACACAAATTTATGCTAAAATACTTCAGCATCATCGCTATAGCCCACCATATGTTCAAAAATGTTATGTACAGCCCCGCTTAATGTCATATCTTTTATCTGTATTTTAACTCCATCCAGCTGTTTCGGATATACTGGGTATCATAAACTAACAAGTTTTAATAAGGCAAATACACTTTGTTCTATATAAACAAATAAACCTTTCCACAAACCAACCTCCCACATGCCCCCCTTACCTCGATCTCAAAATCCATTTTAATGCAGTAGGTACATGGAATAATTACTGAACATAGTGATTTCTCGTCAACTGACTTAAACAGCAAATATATCTCCAGTTTATGTTATGCGGAGCAAGTAACCAAACCAGTACAGCAAAATGGAAAAATTTAACATTTACAATTATTAAGATAGTAATCATTGAAATTAATAATTATCCCTTATAGTATAATACACATTATACAATTTTTTATATTATTTTATTTCTAACCTTGTAATATAAACTAGCAGTATATCTAATCCCTTTTCACAGTAGCCATAATATGGCTTAAATTTTCAGTTTTCAGTATTTACTCAGTGTCTCAGTATTCACTATTTTTTTCCTTCGATGATGTTGATGGGATATTTTCATGGAAATGTTTATGATTTAAAAAACTAAAAGCAAACTAGGTTTGGACCTTCACAGCTGAGCGCGCAACTCAATATTGTGTTTAAACACTACTTTTTTTTAATGTGGCAGTTCTACACGACTTTTCTGATATCAAAAAAGCTGCAGTTGGGCTATAGACTTCTTGTAGAAGGGATTCTCTTTTAAATTCTCACTTCTCCCTTTTCACCCCTCATTGCTCACTAGAAGCTCAACACAGAGTCACAACATTTCACACAGTGGTAGAATCCCCACTAGGGGGCTTGTAGAAAGAAGAACAAACAACACTGTGATTTTTGAGTTCTGTCTACTGGCCTGCGCGCACAGTACCACCTCAAAAAAATGTTGCTGTCTTTTTACTTTGAAATATGTTTTTCCTTTGTAGTCCACTGCTGGCTTAACTATGCCACCAAGAAACACGTTAAGTAAACTATGTGCTCTTATTGAAGGTTCTCTGGCTTTGGAGGTAAATTTAGCATCACAGGTAACTAAGCACTTCCATGCACATCTTGATGATGCTGGTAGAGGTTTATCTTCATCTAATCTGTCCTTAAAACAACATGCAGAAATTCAGGTCTTCATTGCTTTGGGGTTTTTTTCCAAGTTGTTTTCCTCAGCTGACATGCTCTGTGGTACACATATGCTATGTGCTTTAATACAGCAAACAAATAATTAATTTTATATCAACATTTTCCAATTAAAAAGCTGTTTAGGTTACTGTGCCTTTAAGGCTGATGTAAAGGAGCTCTGCTCTGATTGGCTGCCCTATTTTGTGTCTTATTCAAAAACAGGTCTAGGCTGAAGCTTAACTTTAAAGTGAACGGGTGGGGCTAAACTGCTGTAGGCTGAATAGGCAGACACATCTAGATGTGATGGGTTTTGTAACTTCACAAAAACCATGAATTCAAAACGGGCTATTTTTGCAGCTTAATTTCACTCGTAAGCATAAGTGAAAGTCACATCCTTTATTTTTTATTTTGGAAATATACTTATTTTTATTATGTATGTTTTACCTTTTCCCAACATGTTAAACTCAGCAAATAAATAAAAGTGTGCATTAAAATTAGCAGAAAAAAGTCATATTTAAGTTCCCTGTAGAGGATGTGTTAACTTATTTTCACTTACAATCTGACTGGGATGTTCAAACTTTGCATACAGCTGTATGGAAACATTAACAAAGTCTATATATTACATCAAACGCAAAAATTCAGTTTTCCATGATATGTGCCCTATAAAAGGTGTAGTAATCATTCACATCCACAGAGTTTATAAAATCTTCATGTGTTATAAATGCTTATCCCTCTTTCTACAAAGTGTTATCAGCACATTATGCACACCTCACTTATCCTACTCCAGGACCTGCCCAAAGGAAGATGCTACAAAGAATCCTCCATCTCTCTCGGCCTCTCTCTCTCTCTCTCTCTCTCTCTCACTCACAAACACATCCTCTCATCCAAGCTTCGACGTCCTTTATAAATAAGTGCTGTCACTCCTTATTCAGAGGACCCCAAGTGTTCCCTTTCTGTGAAGTTCTCATCAGAGATAACACTTTAGCACTCTCTATATGTCATGTGTTGAGTCAATTGAGGCATTATCGAGAGTCAGTGTTTTCTTTCCCCCTCTAGTCCAGTGCAGCAGGGGGTCGGGCAGTGGAGGCTGGACGGAGGAGTGGTTATCAATAAAAGACAAACTGGTTTGAGTCAGTGCCCCCCTCTGTTCACACACGGACACACGAACACGAACACACACACATACACATACGTGCAAGAGACAAACATCTCACCTATGGTGTCTCCTTGCTCGTGCACCATGCTGGCCAAGTCCTTCATAATCTGGTTCACATCCAGCATATCTCTCTGCAAAAAAACAACACAAGACTGTAGGTTAAATCTGTGAACCGCTAAACACAAAAAGAGCTCTTTGCATTGCTACATGCTAAAGGCTGCACAATATATCATGTACTAATCAATATCGCATTCAGTACTCATTAGTACTCGTATCACAAAAGGCTGAAATAAGCTCTATATCAAATGATAGCGTTTTGACCAATCTCAGATATTCTAGATGAGTTTTGTGGGTGTTATGAATCAAAGTATGAAACAAAAATCATTTTGATTAAAATAGTAACACAGGCTGACATCACATCAAATGTTTACTAGTGTGCTTTAAAGGAGAATTGCAGAAAAAAAATTCTGCATAATTCGATTATTAAGATGTAAACAAAGACATTCAGAGTCAGAACTATTCACAGCGGTGGTGATAAACAGACGTCTGTAGAGCTTAATGCCTCTAAAAGCTACCCCACAGAAAGCTATTACATGAAATGTATACAAATATACTGTCTGATGCCTGAGACAATGTTTTACCATAGTTAGCAACCACTTGGGATAACATAGCAATGACCAAGCAACACTGTAGCAACCACCTGGGATACCACAGCAACAGCCCTGCAACATCTTAGCAACCACCTGAGATACCATAGCAACAGCCTGGCAACACCTTAGCAACCACCTGGGATAGCATACTTATGGCCTAGCAACACCTTAGCAACCACCTGGGATATTGTACCAGTGACCAAGCAACACCATAGCAACCACCTGGGATACCATAGAAAGAGCCCTGTAACACTTTAGCACCCACCTGAGATACAATACCAACAGCCTAGCAGCCCCTTTAGAAACTACCTGGGATAGCATACCTACATCCTAGCAACACCTTAGCAACCACCAGGGATAACATAGCAATAGACTAGCAAAACCTCAGCAACCACCTGGGATATCATAGCAACAGCCCTGTAACATCTTAGCAACGACCTGAAACACCACAGCAACAGCTTAAAAACACCTCAGCAACCAACCTGGGATAGCATACCTACTGCCTAGCAACACCTAAGCAACCACCTAGGATAATATAGCAATGATCAAGCAACACTGTAGCGACCACCTGGGATATCCCAGCAACAACCCTATAACATCTTAACAACCACCTGAGACACCACAACAAGAGCCTAGCATCACCTTAGCAACTACCTGGGATAACATAGCAATGACCAAGCAATACTGTAGCGACCACCTGGGATACCACAGCAACAGCCCTGTAACATCTAAGCAACCACCTGAGATACCATAGTAACAGCCTGGCAACACCTTAGCAACTACCTGGGATAGACATATCTACAGCCTAGCAACACCTTAGCAACTACCTGGTATACCATAGCAACAGACTAGCAAAAACTCAGCACCTGGGATTCCAAAGCCTAGTAACATCATATGAACCACATGAGATAACATAGCAACACTTTAGCAAACAGCTGGGATTTCATAGTAACAGCTTTGTCAAGTCAACTTAAAATTTGTTCACAAACTTTCCCCTTTTAGTTCCCATATGATATTTTACACATATGATGCTACTACGTCTAGCCAAACTGAAGCATGAGAAGCAAACCACAAATATCTCACATTTTTAAGCTAAACATCTATTTTTTGGAGCCCAGGCCCAAAGCAACATGGAGGTGAGTAAACCCTGTGTCTATCTTCCCCTCCCAGCTTCCTCTTGCCTCCATGCACAGGCCGTGTGACTGCAGCTGGGCTGGTGGAGCAGTGGCCACTGAGCCATTCATCACAGGTGGCTGTGATTGTTTGGGAAACTGGCAGTCCTCCTAGCTGTTGGCAAATGCCATCTGGCTGGAGCCAAAATGGCCCCTGGCAAACCCCAGACTGCTAAAGACTTTTTGCATTTGTCTTCGGGCAGTCCGGGTCCAAACTCGCAGGAATGGCTCGACAACATATTTATTTTACCTGCCAGCGCAATTCGAATTCAGTTTGTCGCAAAGACGGAGGGTAAAGAATTGTTTCGTTCAGTTAGCAGGGAGGATATTCATGAGGTTGAGGGAGAGAGCGAGAGAGAGAGAGGCGTACAGACATATTGATTGTTAGAGTGCTCTGGCGCTCCGTGCCCTGATGCCTGGGGAAAGCCGGGCCTGCCCTGGGGGCTGATGTGTTCTGCCCTGCATCATTCATAGAGTTATCGTCAGTTCATGGCGCTTAGCAACCCCCCAGTAATGTCCTGAGGCCAATGCATGGGACATGCGTCAAAAGGAAGAAGAAGAAAAAGGAAGAAAAAGCCACTTTTCCTAATACAGGGACTTTGCTGAGAGGTTGCTGGCCTTCACAACGAAGGAACTCCAGGCCTAGTAGCTTTGTGATAGAAGAGGATAAAGCAGGCTTGTCACCCTAACAGCGAATTTACTTGCTCAGTTCAGAACAAACACAAAGACAACAAAGGGACCAAAGGTGTAAGACTTAGTGGATGACAACGTCCTTTATGTCTCCAATCCTGGTAAAATAACATCAAGCCGCCGCAACAATCATATCAGATGGGAGCTCTATTTACAGCTAACTCTGTACTCTGTGCTTTCTGTCACTCACCCTCTGCTGGTATTGTGTCTGTGGGTGCACAGAGAGAGAAAGAGAGAGAGAGCAGGAGAGAGAGACAGTGAGAGAGAGAGAGGGGAAAGAGAAGGCGGGTCTGATAGGGCACAGAGGGTCTCTCTTTGTTTTATTAGACGCAAAATGTCAGTGTGAGAGCCAGACATCTGCTTCATCTGACAACCACGAACATCACAGCACACACACACGGTGTGCAGAACCAGCAGTAGTTCCACATCCACAAAATTAAATGTTCAGGTCAATGAGGCACGCAAAAAAAAAACTAACGACAAAAACAAGTTCCCAAACAAGGAATGATTGACACCTCCACTGCCAGTGCATCTCTCTGAATAACAGGACATACAGCTGACAAAAGAGGATGATGGTCATTTTATGCCAACAGAAAAAGCATAATGTCCAGTACAAAAGGACAAAGAGGTGCAGGTGCATGTAGGAGCTTATCTGTCTGAATCAGTTGTATAATGTCAGCCAGAGTAAACCTTCCTCATAAACTACACACAGGAAAGGCCCCTAAATAAAAAGCCAACTTCTTCCAAAGGCAAATGAAGGTCTTTCAAAAGGCAGAACGTGTTTCCATCACATATGTTACTGGGAAATTTACACATACAAGAATTATCAGCGCTATATTATGATTAATACCACCTTTATTAGAGAAATAAAAGTGTGTATTTCATTCTACATGAGCTGTTATTCTTTTCAAAAACTCATACAAATGGATAAAGAGCATGGTGGAATGAAACTCTTCCAATACTCCCCACCCAACACACTCCACTCAAACTCTTGTCTTTCTCTTTTGTGTTATTATGATGTGTAAGTAATTGCTAGGCCAGCTCCATTAAACATGTCATCTATATAACAACTACACATATCCACTGTTATGACAAACAGTTCTTCATTTCTTAATAAAAATACAACTCTCCGCTTCTGTGGTATAAAGTGCGTCATGCTTAAGATGTCTGTTAATTATAAACATAAAGCAATTTTGACAAAACAGATCCTTCGTGTAAGAGTTTGTTTTTACAAGAAATTGTGTTCTTTTTTTCCAATCGAGTCTAATGGAAAAAAAAACATGAAATAATTTGTGTTTCATTAAAGCAAATGGACAAGAAGGAGCACCACAAACCCCTTAACCATTGTAAAATCACTGTAAGGATTATTCCCTGAATAGACTTTAATAACAGGGCACATTAACACAGAATTTAACAGATGTGTGAAGTCATGTATGATGTGTGTTGAGTATTTTCATATGTAGGTCAGGGTAATCAGATTTTAGAACTGGATGCAACTGTAATCTAATATATACATTACAATAAACTACTGTCAGTATAATGAGTAAAATGTGACTCTTAACAACCATGCAAGACCTGGCAGACCACCAAACTTTCAACATCAGATAAAAAGCACTTAATGCTTTCATCTTTGAGAGAGAGGAGAAACTCAAGCTCCACTCTTGGTTCAGATCTGAAACAGTCCACAGGTGTTTCTGTCCATCCTTCCACTGTGAGAAGACGACTCAACACTACGAGTCTGAAAGGATGTGTAACTGTTAAGAAGCCGATAGAAGAAAATTTGCAAATCCAACAACAAATCTGCTGGTGGTCAGAACTACAGACTGACCACCCCAGACCCTTAACATCTTTGAATGTGGTACTTGGATCTGAACACTTATAGATGTGAAAAATCTCCCTGCAGGTTTCTTTGTAAAACTGAAAGCGAGTCTCCTGAAAAGAATGGAAGCTGTAATAAAAGCCTGGAACTTATTTAAATGAAGGGTGGTCTGAACAACAAGATAAACAGCAACACAGGATGTTCATGCGCTTGGATGGAATAATAAAGTGGCTTGAAAAATGAGTGACTCGCCCTGAGCAGTGAATACACTATAACCACGTTATTGTACACTCTGCATATTTAAACACTGAACACAGAATATGTGCAACTGTTCAACAGGACCCTCAAATTATGGCACACTTTATATTTTATGTTTCTATTAATATGATAAAGTCAGCAAATAAATAGAAATTGTGCACTGAAAAGTGCCATAATAATATTTATATATATACACAGTGTGTGTAAGAGATGTATATTATATATGTATATATATATATTATAGAATAAATGGTCTGAACGTAAGACTGAGGATAATATCCACACACACTAAGTTTTAACTCCCATGTCATCATGTAAATCAAACGTAGACACGATAGCTAGAACGGTCACCCCAGATAGATGAATGCATTGTCATTGTCATATTGCTCTCTCTCTCTTCTCCATTTCTCATTAACTGGAAAGCGAAGTGATCATCAATTCAGATGGCCAACAGCACAGTTTACTGTGCTTCAGCAGAGCAGATCATTTTCTGCTGTAAAGTATTATATTATCACACAAGCTGTAAATGGGAGCTAATTTAC